TTATTTAATATAAAAAGATCGATTTACTTAATAAAAACTTAGCAAAAATAATGTTTCATTGTACCGCCATTACTTTCACCGGGGACTGTATAGTAAATTTCATCACTGAAATTTCTTTGTGACATAATGTACAGTATTAGAATACTCCGTATATGAGCATACACTATAATAATTAACAATTAAAATACTTGATGTGTAAAAACGTTCTTAAATTGTAAAAATTATAAAATAAAGGGTTAACATAATAAAACTAATCCTTGAAAAAAAAATAATACATTGTATTTTTTTAAAGAGAAAATTCAAGGTTTTTTCTAAATTTGAAATTTTTTCATTAAAATCATCATTATTGGTATCTAAAATCTTGATTTTATCATTAACATCATTGTCATTAAAATCATCCAGTTCCTTATGAAACTGCCACAAAGAACCAGCTTGATGGTCAAAATCCTTTTTTTCAAGAATGTATTGAATATAAGAATTTTCATTTTCATATTTTGCATATAAACAACCTCTTCTTGATTTGGTTCTTTCTTTCCATGAATCAAGATTGTTATTATTATAACAAATGTATTTTGGATTGGGCTTAGAAGAATTTAAAAATCATCTCCTAAATCCAAAACCTCATAGTCTGATATGAAAGCAGCTTGGAGCTTGAGTAGTTCAAGTTTAGTTGTTTCTGATATTTTTTCATACACAATACTAAATAAGATATATTTATTTTATTAATATGAAATAATAATATTATTATTAAACTTAATAAGATATAATTATTAATTACCTCACAAAAGTTATAAACATATTTTGTATAATGATTACAATTAACAAACTTGCAATTAAAGATAAAATTTGAACTGCAAAATAACTGCCACAAGTATCTTTATTTATCCAATTACCACCCATCCAAAAATATGCAGCTGGAATTGAACTAAAAAAATTTGAAAATGGATTATCAATTGATGATGTGCTGTCAAAATCTGCTTTAATTGTTATATCATTATACACTGTTTGATTGGTAGTTGTATTGACTATAGAATATGTATTCACACTTGGTACTAATCCTATATCATCTGGATTTTGTAGCAATATATACCTATAATAATATATTATTATTATATTATTTCAGAGAGAATGTTTTAAATTACAAATATACTACTTACATTACATGAGCAAATGCCAATATAACAATCAACACAAATAACAAAAATGGCCCAATAGTCACCAAAAGATTATCTGTGATTATAATATAAAATCCTATACCTACAAAAATTAAATTTTTTTAATATATATATACACAATGTACCTTCAAATAATCTAAGGTATAAAAGCTTTTTAAATAAACAACAAGTTTGGCTCATAGCACAAGTCTTGCAATGAAGAGCCAGGGTCTGGATTCTTACAAATTTTTAATCTATTTGAATGTTAATTAAGTATTAAATTTTATTATTATTGTTATTTTATTATTATTTGATTATATCAATGAATGTTTTTTTAGATTGGATTTAGATGGATTGTGATTAATTATATGATGTTGATTATAAATTGAGTTATTTAGTTTAATAAATAATTTTTACCCAGAATAGTGAATATTTTCAAAGTTTTAATACTTTTACTTAATGATTCAATCAAATTATTTGATATTCCCCAATAAGATTTTAAAGTCCATCGCCATAAAGCTTCTTTTGCTTTCAGTTCATGTTCAGATCTTGGTTTAGGATAAAAATCATTCCATTCTGACCATGAATCAGATATTAAATGAATTTCTTGCAATTTTTGATTTTGAAATATTGGTATTATTATATCTTTTAAAACATAAGATGGCGACAACGAAGAAGATGATGTAGATGAAGAAGTTATATGATCCAAATCTATCACCAATGATAATAAGTTTTCATGACATAATAATAATAAGGATCGAAGACCTTTAGACGTAAAAGTTTGTTGATTAATTTTACCAAGAAATAAACATTCTATTGTACTTTTTGGTAACATTTGTAAAGGTGAATTAGTAATTTCTGCAGAACTCGAATTAGTTATCTGTGTGGAATTTGAATTCATCATCATCATCATCGTCGATAATTCATTTTCAATCATTAATAAATCTTCATCGTAAAGAATTAAATTTTTCAAAAATAAATTTTTTAAATTTTTAGACTCTAGTAATAAGTGAATTATTGATTTGCTCGTAATGTTTACACATGGGTAAATTCCATCGTATCCAATAGTGACTTCTGTTAAATTACTGGTTTTGTTATAATTGTCATCTTTGAGAAGTGGTATGATGTAATTAATTATTCCTTTGTTGGTGAAATTTGTTCCGTTCAATGACAATCTTTTAATATCTTTGATAAATGATTTCTTACGACTTATTTTCTTCAATAATAAATCATTGAATGACGAATGATTAGAATCTAAAATTAATTCCTTTAATCCTTTTCTCTTGAATAGAATCCTTGTTAGTTTGTTGATGACTTTATCTTCGCCTCGATTAATTTTCTTGTTTTGGTTGATTTCTTTACTTTCATTTTCGCTTCCACTCTCACTTTCTTCTTCATCATCACTGTCATTGTTATCATGGTTAATAGGAGATTTGATCTGAAGATGTAATGACTTTAAGTTCGGCAATAATTCTTGTAGCAATTCCAAAGTTGCAAATAATCCGTTTGTTTTTTTATTAGAAAACATTGAAATTGGACAAATAATTATATTTTTTATAAATTTATAATAATCAAACATTTTAGAAGAAGTGGCGGCAGATTTTAAAATTAGAAAAATTTTACGTTCATTTGCTTCATAAATATAAATAGTTTTCCATACTTGAGGTATTGCGGCTTTGGCAAATGTTCTATTAATAAATATGATGTTTGATCCGATCACCTTGAATCTCTCATGTTTAATGATTATAGATGTAATGTTTTCTAGAATGTCAAATGGAAGTTTTGATAATGGAAATGGGGATTTATTTTTTGATTGCATTATTATGATTTATGAAAAAGTGTCAAAATTTTGAAAAATGAAAAAAATGTTTTTTTTATCTTAATTTATATATTTATTGAATTTAAATTTATAATGTCTTTATATATTTTTATTGTCTTTTTATTATTTATTTGTATAATATGTATTTATAATTTATTACATGTTTGTTGTGTGTGTGTGATCTATTCTTTACAAAAATTATTACTCTAATTTTAGCAATTTTTTTACACATGTGTACACACATTTAATTCGTAGAGAAAAAATTTTCTCCAGAAATTTTTTCTTTAAAAAGGATAAATGGATGAAACGAGTTTTTTTTTGTGTGGCTAAGTTTTTTTTATATACCAGAATTGGGAATTTAGAATAATCGCAAGTTAACGCCCGATTATTTAGCAATTATGGCTTGTCAGTTAATTAAAACCAACTCGGTGCGTGTCGATATTAATTAGTTTACGAACTTGCATTGGTTCTCGCTTACTGTGTACTCTACGAATCTGTGAGATTCATTCAATGGCACAGTATAACTTTAAATAAATAAATATGGCTCTTTACAAAACTCAAATGCTAAGTTCCTTTTTTATTTATTTCAGTCGTTTACCCTTCCTTGTTTTATTTCCATTTGGCCGATCGCAAACTCTCTTTTTTCATTACAAAACAAATAACTTAGACAGATCATTGACTAACTTTGGGCTAACTAACTAGCGCTAACAAAGTCTCGTAACATACAAAAGTTTCAGTAACCATAAAACAATTAATCACGCAAAAACGTACATAATAAAACACAAATAAATTTCACCAAATTGTGATTAAAGTTCTCAAGAATATGTATGCAAAATTTCAAATTTTTGTGATGTTTGGGAGAATAACAGTTAAAAAAAAAGTTCGACCAAAAATAATTTTTTGGAAAATGATCTCCAAAAGATTTCAAAAAAAAAACGCACATAATAACCACACCCGAAATTTTACTTATTTGTATGCAAGTCAACACTTTGTTGGCCGCCCATTATTGGATACAACAGCTTCTATTCTTCTCGGCATACTTTCTATCAAATTCATGTAAATATTTCTAGGAATTTGATTCCATTCTTCATGTAAAGTTCAACATTATTTTTAAATTTATTTGGACGTTTCCGAATACGAATTTTTAATTGATTCCACAGATGCTCTATTGGACTCCTTACCTTGCACAGTTGGAAAATAATAGCGGAGCTAATGCTAAAGCACATATGTCCTCATTGATTGAATTGCATTCTCAGATGAGACCTAGTCTCGAGGCTTTGCCTCTTCCGATAGGAGGAATAGGAGCAATTCCTGTTGTGGCAAGTAGTTTAATGTCACCTCTATCAGCATATATAATATTACTTACCTTGTTAATTATTGCCGTTATGTGGTTCATTATATTGAGATGCACATGGAATATAGGTAAAAAAAGTGATCGGCTATGGGATACGTGAATCAGATAATGAATTCTCAAGATAGTATTAGTGAAACTAGCTTTGCTAAATCAAATTGGCAGAAAATTGAAAATGACGTAAAATCAAAGCTCATAAATTTTTTTCAAAGTAATGAAGAATCAATTACTCTAGATATAAATAATAGTATAGAATATGCATATTACTTATATTATTTGAAAAAAATTATTAATGAGAATTAGTGACATATGTAGATTGGATAAGCTTACCTTCATCACTCAATTTCAGATATTTAGTTAAATATACCTTGGAGTATTACTTTTTTTTTTTTTTGAACTCGAGAGAAAAAAGAGTGCAAGAGTATGGATGAGGTTGCTTTCTTGGAATACAAGCGAAATTTTGAGGCTAAAATGAAAGTTCCTACTACTCCGCACAAAAAAGAGCTGAAAAATAAATCTTTAGCCTTCATTGAATATGTGTAATTGTTATAAATGCTTCAGCAAAGCAAGTAAAGGTGCCAAGACATTATCACCTAGTTAAGTAGTAATTTCTGGAGAAGAGAGATTGCTACATTCAGCTAGTTATATATCTGGGTAAGGGGATTTTTGTCACCTCTTTCGATGAGTATGCAGAAAAATTTAAATAAAAAAATATATTTTGGTACTTGGATTATACAGAGGGGTTTTGGGTCACAGGGGAGTCCCGGCCATCCAGTTTATGTGCCTGTCAGGTGAAATATCACATAAGTGCTTCCAATATATGGGATGAGGTAAGTTAATCATTTTTGTGTTACATAATTTTAATTGAGATGCAAAGCATGTAGGTATAACAAGAGGTATAATGAGTCAGCAATTCACACAGATTTGGCTAACTTTTTGGAACAGTGACCCACATGGGTATAATGGAACACAAGTATGGCTAAATTTTTGGGATAGCAAGATTACATTTTGGTTATATAATTTTTAGGACAACAAGGTTACATTTCAGTTATATATTTTTTGGGTCAGCAAGGTTACATATTAGTTACATATTTAGTAACATATGTTGGAACAGCACTGGCTATGCAAGAACAGATTCTAGAAGGCAAAATTATATCACACTTAATTTTTAGGACAGCAAGTTTACATATTTTTTTCAATATCTGGGAAGTAATTCAAACAAGCCAAAAGTAATGAAATTGCTGTAACCTTGCTGTCCCAACCACATTAAGATTTTTTTATATCTATATCCACTACATTATCTCATATCAAATCTTGACCATCCCTTTCATCATATAAAAACGGAAAACAGATATACTTATTACAATGCTTTAAGTATTACCGAGTGGAGATAGCAATTTGGCAAAGCTGACAATTGCTAACAATTCGGCACTATGTGCCTCGTCATCAGATGCTTTGGTGTATTACCAGATATGATAACAATTCGGCACTACATGCCTCATCATTGGATGATTTGGTATATTATCAGATATGTTAACAATTTGGCACTATGTGCCTCATCCTTGATTGATATTTGAGTGCATTATAATAGTTAGCAATTCAGCACTACGTGCCTCATCCTTAATTGATATTCAAATGAATTATGTGAAGCTAACAACTGCTAACAATCCAGCACTATGTACCTCATTCTTAATCAGTATTTGAAAGCATGGTGGAAGTTTGATTTTATTGGATATAAAATGTGACAAAATAAAATTTGGGTTTTTACCAAAATTAGAAAAGTTTAAGGAAAATCAAGATTTATATGGAACGTGTAATGTTGATCACAGCAAACAAAAAATTTAATGTGTATAAAATATATATATATACACACACAAGAGTTTATTCCTATATTACTACTACCACTACCACTACCACTGTCATCTCATTATTGTTCTACTGCTATTGTTACTG